ATACTTTTTGTTTAAAATTATTGTACAATAAAAATGATTTATTTTTAATTTTATTTTAGTAAATCGGTTAAAAAATCTTTTGTTGATTTTTTTTTAAATAATAGAATTTTTGAAATTGCATTCCTTGAAAAACAAAATAAAAAAAAAATGTAGAATTTAATTCAAATGGATTGTAGCATACAAGAATAATTATTTTTTTTTTTCAAAATAATTTCCTTTGTATGACACTTACTTTTCATAAGGAAGAAAATTTACTAGTACCCAATGTACCCAAAGTGCATGTACCAAAAATGTACCCAGTACATAGTACCTTAGGTTTGTAATAAGTACCATAATTAAAATAACTGTACAATGGTCCTGATTATAAGACATTACTCCTATATTCTAGTATTATATCATTTATGTATATTATTTATCTTACTCTTTTTATAATATTAATGAGGACACTATTGAAGTACAGGGCTTAGTTTTATTCATTTTTCTTATAATTAATTGCGAAAATAAATATCTAATTTACAAACAATTCAGTAAAATAATAATGATAGGGTTTAGTTGATTGTATAAATTTAGCCCTTCGCAATAGGTGGTACTTAGATTTTATAACTGAATTTATATAGGTTATTGTCGATGTAATCATAGGAGTCTTCCACATGATTACAAAATGTATTGTATACATTATATTTTGTAAATGTAGTTGTTTTTTTCGAGTTATTGTATTGTTTTTGTGTCCGTTAAAAGTTAAAGTCGTAGAAACGTTGATTGTAATTACCTGTGCTATGATTGTCTTAATGCTAATTAAAATTTATTTATAGTAGGGATTGAAGTATTTATATGTACCGTTAAACGATTCTTTTTAAAAATCGGTTGAATTCACAAAGGAATTTCAATGAAACACTCTTACTGGTGATAATTTTTTTACTTTCACTCGCCTATATATGAAATATATAGTAAAGGAAAGTATTGCGATCGTGAAAATTTTTGAATCTTTGTTTTCAACGGAAATACACGTTTTGAGGTCCCCTGAGTCCAAATATCCAAATTTATTTACGACTTTTTAGTACCTAATTAAATAGACAAAGTTTGCCGACCTCCAGATTGAAAATACCCCGATTCCGAGAATTTTCGTAAATAAAATATATGCAGGTTTCGACGAGATAAAGCTATTTACGAAGTTTCAGGCGGATGTTAATAATTAGCTACAAAGAGGTCTGTACCACGGGCTATTATTATCGTCTTATAAATGTACTAATGTCTACAAGTAAATCCTCTGAAAGAATTTTGTATATATATTTTTTTCAAATGTAAATTCACAATATAAGCAAAATCAGATTTATTCCTGAAGATGCTTTAAGTGGGGAAAATTTAGATAAATTAAAAATAAAGTATTTTAGCAATTGAGATTAAAAAGGCCTTTTTTTATTCATACCTACATACAACAAATAAAAATAAAATAACTTAAAGATAAGTAAATTTAAAAAAAAATGGTGATGCTAGGTCCAAAAATATTAGTCTCAGGGTTCTTGCCAATGCGCCTTGGGAGGCGAGAAAAAAAATTATCTTAACATTTTTTTATATAATTATATATATATATATATATATATATATATGTTCTACGATTACTAGAAAAAAAGAAATTGAAGAAGAAATTAAGGTTAGACTGAAGGCGGGAAATGCTTGTTATTTCTCTGTGACAAAACTTGTTTATTTTTCTAGTTCGCGCCTCTTGTCCCGAAACTTAAAAATTAGAATCTATAAAACAATTATCTTGCCTACAGTACTTTATGGGTGCGAAACTTGGCCGCTTACATTAAGGGATGAGCAGCGTCTGAAGGTTTTTGAAAATAAAGTATTGCGTAGAATATTCGGACAGAAGAAGGATGAGTTAACCGGAGAGTTCAGACGGTTACACAATGCCGAATTGCGTGAACTGTATCCGAGTAATATAATTGAGATAATTTCATCGCGGCGAATCAAATGGGCTTGTAAAGTTGTTGGACTTAGTAACGAGAGAATTCCTAAAAGGTTAATATTTGCTGTGCCGAATGGTAAGCGTCCGAGGGGTAGACCGAAGCGAAGGTGGGAAGATTGCATTAAAGCTGATCTGAAGGGACTGGGTTTGGACGGCGAACGGTGGAGAGAGGTGTGTAATATGCGATTGGTGGTGTCGGCATCGAACCTTCGGGTTCGCTAAGCCTTTTTATTATTATTATTATTATATATATATATATACACATATATATATATATATATATATATATATATATATATATATATATATAAACCGGTTGACAACATCAATGGACGAACTCACCGATCGTAGAAAGGTTTCCAGTTACATTGACACTAAAAACTTAAGCGTAGTACCTTTAAGAGGTCGTTAAAATAAAGCCGCAAGTTCTAGATTTTATAATATGAAAAAATATATATGTATATACAAATAAGGACAGTAATAAAATTAATGAAAATATGTCTGTGGAATGATTGAGACGTATAAGAAGAATCCAACCAATGCAACTATATGAAGAATGTTACCACCCAGGATTGATGGAAGGAACGCCAAGATTGATGGAAGTAATAACTGGTTTAAACTCTATAAAATCGGACTAAATCACGACAAATCGCATCATACCACGTTTAAACTTTGACAAGAAAAAGGTTTTTCAGTTTTCCTTTACAATACACAGATTTTATAGAAACGCGGCGTTCATTCATGAACTCGGTTTAACATTCGACCGAAAATGATATGAGGCACATATTCACTTTTCAGGAAACAAACAACAATTTTTTTTTAATGATTCTTCTTCCACTTTTTTTTTTATTAAATTTCTTTCTTTCCATTTATTTATTTATTGTTTATCCAAAATACTTATTGAAGGTTATTCGGATTTATCCATCACAAACATATTAGTTGGTGGTACAGACCCCTTTTTATCAAATTATTAATATCCGCCTGAACTTTGTAAATAGCTTCATCTCATCGTGAGCTACAAATATTTTATTTGCGAAAATTCTCGGAATTGGGGAGTGTTCAATCTGGAGATCGTCAAACTTTGTCTATTTAATTAGGTACTAAAAACTCGTAAATACCCATTTCAATTCCACTTGAATCGTAAGATACTTTGAACATAAGCTAGAAAAAAAAAATGTAGCCTACAAAAATATTGTTCCGTTTGGCGTGACCTCCATCCTCAATATGTCAAAATAACGAGTTAATATAGGCCAAGCGGCCCAATATTTTTGTAGGCCATTTTTTTTTATTTTGTGATCCCATTATCTTGCAATCCAGGTGTAAAGCAAATGGGTATTTACGAGTTTTTATTACTTCATCGATTTAACTGATTATTTATCTGATTGTTAAATGATTATTTAACTGATAAAAACAAAGTTTGTTTTTTGACCCAAATTTTGCACAATTTCTTTCAAATTCCTTCTGGAAATGTCTGTGTAAACATGTTTATTCACTATACCATTCGAATATTTCCACTATAAATTGAAGATATCCTACACCAAAAGCCGCCATACATCCCTACACCAAGAAACATAACATTTTTTACTTTAATTATTTATTTTTATTTTCCTTTTCTATGTACACATTGTGTGAATAAATACTGTAGCCCTATAACCAATGCCCTTCAGTTTGGTTGGCTGTATTAATATTCAATAAAATCATTTTTTAAAAAATAGGATGTTTATTGATTAAGATAAATTATTATTTTTAATGTAATATAAACTATTTATTCATTCAATAATTTTTATCAATATCAAGGTGCGCCACTTTGACTGCGAGCCAATGTATATCATCCATAACCTAGACAAGCCTCACTGAATTTACAAAACTGGTACTTACTTTGGAAAATAACACTTAATCATGACAAATCACAATACATAACTGTTACATTTCGAATAGACACATGCCCTCAAGTTTATACCGCCAACCAAATCCCTCAGATGGACATATTACGTTATCTCGGACTAACATCCGACATAACGATGATCTGGGGACCACATGCCAAAATGAAACGAAAGACAGTAAACAATCGACTGAAAATACTATATTTCTTTTTTTCCAATTGTAAATTGTAAATCAGACCGAAACTAAATACATACTCATACCTACTTCAACTCATTTGGTAATACGCATTTCAGATATACGGTTCAGCAAAAAAGACTGACAAAAAATACAAACTTTTCAATCTAAAATTATAAGACTAATATCAGCAACTCTCTGGAAGGTACACAGCAGAACTTTACATAACGACTTAGGACAACAAACTATCGTCCATCACATACGTACTGTTTGTTTACATGCTAAACTAAAAGGACACAACAACCTATAGAGTTATATATACCCTCTCATAAAACTTCTTCCTTCAGCAAATCCTTCGTCATTTATGCCGCTTCCTTATGGAACTCATTTCCTACCTCCATGCGTCAATCCTCGTCCACAAATTCCTTCAAACAACTCCTGTTCCACCACCTACTCCACATTCAAACTTCCGCAAACATGTAAAATTACTTGCATCAGTACACTGCATAATTTCAATCTATAGCATAATTGAAATAACAATTAACAGCAAATCTGTTTGTATTTTTATTATTATGGCACACTAAGACCCATAAATTTGTAACTTTGTTATGTACATTACATGCTCATTAGGGGGAGATTGAAGAAAAGCTGGATGAGAGATCTCCTTTTCTGATAAAAGGAAGCAGACAAAGGCCAGGAAGAGGTGCCGCTGGGTGCTATCCTGCCTCATGTCGTGACATTATCATCTATAATCTCTTCAAATCTACTGATTTTTACTCACATGACAGGTGCAGATGAAGGTATGAAGAGAGAGAGAAAAAAAAATATATATCATAACAATATTTACTTATTTTATTAGATAAGTTTATGATAATTATTACATTATATATTATAATAGTATATTATATTATATCGTCCTTTAAGACAGACGGACAAGCGAAATCCAAAGCTGTTCGAGATCGGAGGCGGTGGTGGGGGCAGGCTGGTGGGAGCTAGGCCACAATCAGTCTGGTATCGGCTCCAGCGAAGTTCGCCTCTCTAGTACTGCCACTGTGAGTAGCCAAGTCATAACGTAATATATTTAGGAAAAGTGATAAATAATAAACAATGTATTATATATATATATATACTTCATACAGTAAGGATATTGTGTTAGTCGCCAATAAAAAAAAAATGCAATTTAAAAAAAAAATTAAATATAGGATTATTCGGTTTAGTAGACTTGGTGATTTTAGTCTTTAGTGCTAAACAAGAGAGGGTAAACAAAAAAAGTAATACACACATGATATTCAATATAATGGATTTTTTGTTCGCAAAAAATTAAGTGGATCCAAAAAAAAAAATGAAAAAAGGTTAATGACAATTCTCTCTCTCTCTCTCTCTCTCTCTCTCTCTCTATATATATATATATATATATATATATATATATATATATATATATATATATATATATACACACACAAAATAAATGAAATATAAGAAAGATACTATTTAAAAATATTTGGTCAAAATTGATATAGTTTTATTATTAAATGCATCCTTACTAAAATACAATATTAGTGCAATTTATTTAGTACTTTTTGCACAGGGTTGAAATTTATGAACATCAACATGCATGCACTTTTTATTTTTTAATAATTTTAATATCAATCACGTTAAAACTTAGATATATAGAGAATTATTTAGGTGCTTGGATAGGATAAAAATCAATTTAATAAAATATTACATGCGAAAATATCATAAATAGTACTTCTTGGTGAATTTTTTATGAAAAATATTTGTAATACATTTTACCTTTTTTAAAAATTTCACGTTAGTAAATTAAAATAGTATCTTATATTAAAAAAAAAAATGTTTTTCAATCACTCTTTCTTATTTTAGTAATTTATTAATTGAACTCATAAACAAATATACATTTTTTTCATATCTGGTATATAATTATTATTGAAAATATCCTGGAAAATAATATTGTACTAATTATAACTCGATTAAAAAAAATTAAAAATAATAAATAAATTAGAAAGATGCTGTCTAAAAATATTTGATCACAATTGTTATCATATTTTTATTATCAAATGATTGTTTAGTAAAATATACTGTATTTATTTTCAGAAGGTTGAAATTGATTAAGCATACACATACATCTTTTTATCATTCATGTTATAACTTAAATCACTGGAAAATATAGGGAATAATTTCGGTGTTTTATAAAAATAATAAATTTACTCTTTTTTGAAAATCACGGTAATAAATACAAATTGTAATTCTTCAGTTTAAGAAGAAGAGTATTTGTGAATAGTACTCTTAAATAAATTTTATTAATATAATCATTGAACTAAAAAAAAAAATTCTTCATCTCTAGTACATATTTATTATTGATCAAATATCGTGGAAAATAATATTGAATTAATTTAGACTCGATAAAAAAAAAAAAAAAAAAAAAAAAAAAAAAAAAAAAAAAAAAAAAAAAAAAAAAAAAAAAAAAAAAGACCTCTTACATATTTTGTCTACGTTTACTATACTCGTTCTATTGTGAACATCTGTAGTGAGTTCCTTACGATGTACATTAATTACAACTGACACTCGCTCGATATCCCTTCATAAATGTTCGGATATTTATTTTTTTTTTAAATAATGAAATATTTTTACTAACCAATCCCTAAAAAGGATAAAAAAATCATCATTATGTTACAATACAGGGTTCCAGTCCAGTTTAAATAAAATTAATTATTTAATTGTTTTTAAGATAAGAGATATATTTAGTAAAAAAGTTTCAGAAGAGATGATATTTTTATATCATGACTTTTGTAATTTTATATTCTATAACCTAACATCCAAATTACAAACTTTTCTACTACTAGTGCCATATTATGCCTTTGTAAGATAAGTTGAATAGTGCTGTCATGTTGGTCAGACCAGAATAATTCTTAACTTATTAGTTATTAGTTATTAACTTATAAGTTAAACTTATTTAACTAAACGAAACTGTAATTATTGAGATCTATTCCATTTTAATCAAACAAATAACAATGCAATAATAATTTATAATAATGAATGAACGTATATACATTTTAAATTAATATATGAAAATAAAATGTCTGATCTGAAATTGAAATGCTTTATTTATAAGCAGTGCTGTCCACAGAATGCTTACCATTAGTTTTTATAAAACTATATTAAAAAATAGATAACAAATTATAGTATTTTTACCTATTATTGTAATAACTTCCATCATTCAACTCCAAGTGTGAGTTCTATGGTCAACTCATACAGAAATTTCTTCGTTACGATATAAATAATACTTCTTTTATTATTGTAAAAAATGTAATTATATCATCGTGTTTCAAGTGTCTTGTACTGTAAGTTTTGATGCTTAGTAAGCAATGTATTTGAGGATTAGTAAGTTAGTTGTGGAATCTTTACAATGATTGAGGATGTTCCTATCTTAAGGGCATATACTCCAGAATCACATTCGAGCTGTGAACTTTCAATCCTGAAATTAGGTATATATATATATATATATATATATATATATATATATGTATATATTTTTTTTAATATAACTACAATTGTAAAAATTATATTGACACCATATCTATCATAATATTCATACTTTTATTTTATTTTTTAATGTGGGTTTGGAAAAAAGAATTTTTACAAAGTTACAAAGTAAGTTTTTAAGGTACAAATTTAATGTCCTAAAATTTGTACCTTACATCCAAAAAAGCCAATATTTATAGCATTAAGCTTTGAATAAAATGTACCAGGGCAAGATATACATTGATTGTTTTTATATATATCATTCATAAAACATATCAATTATTAACTATTGAGATATATTATAAAGCAAGGGCATTAGCTCCTTAAACAATTGATGATAAATAGAAATAAAACCTTAATTACTTTCGTGAAGCTTATTCGGATTTAAAAATTGTGAACTTAGAAAATTTGATTCTGCTTAAAGAATTCAATATGATGAATTCCAGTTAATGGTTGTTTTACTCATATAAATATTTTAACTGCAATATTGCTTTTTTCTTTTTTTTTTTTCATCTAAATATTTCATTTTTAATATAGTAAAAATTACTCAAAGAATCAGTCGAATTTAAAAATCTTTTTTTTTTTCTTCCGAAAATATTAATGGCTATTTTTTGTATCGTCAAGATTGATGCTCGGTTTAATATATTGAGTTTTCGAAAATATCTGTTATAGGTATTAACTTGCATTTGTGAGCTGAAACGAAATAAACTCAATTTTGGTCACGAGAAGATATGAGCCTTTTTGTTGTTAAAATAACTAAATCCAATTTCAACGCAAGTTTTCCAATAGATATAATCGTTTCAATATGTAGAATAATTCCTTTTTAAAAACGGAAAAAATATTATTCTTCATCACATTCGACGTCGTCTCTACAATCGACCCAGATTTTTTCGAGATAGGAACCCTCACAAGCATCGTTGCATTTAATTTAATTAGTTTAGCTCCAAAACTATTATCATTAAAATTGGATTTGGCATAAGAAAAATTATGCTAGGTCCAACTAAGGTTAATCTTAAGTTGTTCTTTTATTCATAATAATACAGTTTAATATTAGTGATAAAATAAATATAATGACCTATTTTTTTAATTGATGACCTTAGGGCTAAAACGTAATAACTTTGTTATCATTTTTAAAATTGAATCAAGTGCATCTGTGCTGCGTTTCACTACCCAATCATATAATTTTCCGATAGAAGTTTACTAAGCGTAAAGATACACACAAGCAACAGTTTGGCAAATTTTATTATAACACGGCATAAATAATAATAAATAAATAATAATTCTTCTCTAAAAACAGGGTCCATAAAAATGCTATCGGAGGTGCTTCATATGAAAAATATAAACGGGCATTAGATAACTCACATGCTCTCCTATTGATTATTTTTTGTATATATTTGCTATACGAAAATTCTCCAATTAAAGTTTATTGGGAAACAAAAATTATAATACCTATCATTGCATCGTCTTATTTGATACGTGATTTTCATTTTAAAAAATACAAAAGTGATTACAAACATGAGTATATAAAAATATATAACTCAAAACTGGTATTGCTGTTGTTTGTTTTAGCTTCTCGTTGAGGTGCAAGGAAGTATTTTTCGTGTGTTTTTTGTTGTCCGGATATGAGAGAACTTTTTTTTTTATCTTATGCCTTGATCGTCTTCAGCTCTTTCGGCCATGTGACGTCTAGCAGCCCAGTAAATTTCACCTTCTGCACTGGCTTTGTTTCTAGTGTCCTGTAGTCCGGGACAAGTCAATGGATGCAGAGCAGTCATGAGTCCTTGTCGGATATGAGATAACTGGTCATAACAAATAACGTATAAATATGGAACAAATACTTTTTGAAATCTTTTTCCAAAAGAAAGACGAATTCATCGAGCTACTTCACAAGGAATCGCATGGAATAAAACCGGTATATATGATTGAACTGATACTATCTCGGAGACTGAAACGGACCAGGAAGTTAGGGTTGTATGAATTGTTAAAAAAAAAAAAAGCACTTGACGTCAAACGTCGGATTAACCGAAAAGTTAATAGGATTGTGTTGAGCTGACGTAGTTTTGAGTTTTGATGCAGTTTAGTTTTGGGAGCAATATTTTATGATCCCCACATATATTATTAGAGTAAGGCTCTAAATCGCTTTTGTACCAAATATAAGCTCCTGTCATACTCAAATACCATGAATGGGGTACCGTTGGATTCAGAATTTCACGGGGGATTAAACGAATCGTATTCTCCACTATTGTTTTTTTTTTCTAAAATAAATAAAGTCGATACAAAAATTTTGCTAGGCTTCAATACTGGAACGGTGGTAAGTCTGCAGATCGATACGGAACAAATTGGGCTTGGAAGATTTTAATGCGTACAACAAGACCCGGATTGTTCCTTCGGAACTATCGGATCCTGCTTTTTTAAGCCCAAAAACGTAATATTTTAGAGATCATCGCAAGGCATAGGGTTCGCATCCACACAACATTACGTTAATTGTAGTTCTGTCATTGAATACATGTTT